ACCAGACCTGGAGGGTGATGGCTCCGCCTGTGGCAGGAAGTTGGAACTTGATCCTTGGGACCCCATTCCAACTCAAGTCATTCTATGATTTGCAGTGCTGATGGTTAAACACCACTAGAAGAACCTGCATAACAAAGTCATCTGAACAAGATTGGCAAACTAATAAGTAACTTGCCCCATTTATATTGTAAGCTTAACATTTTATGAAGTGATTTACCTTTTCCTCCTTTGATTATTCGCATCTTTCTGAAATGATACATTCACTTGGGCACATCTGAATGCCAAGTCAGCACTGCAGCATGCCAAGGAACCCTGGGGTTTATCTGGGCAGCTGAGAAACATGCTTGTGAGGAGGCTGTAAAGAACTCCCGGTTGTTATCACAGAATCACAGAATCACAGAATTGTAGGGGTTGGAAGGGACCTCCAGAGATCATCGAGTCCAACCCCCCTGCCAAAGCAGGTTCCCTACAGCAGGTCGCACAGGTAGGCATCCAGGCAGGTCTTGAACATCTCCAGAGAAGGAGACTCCACCACCTCCCTGGGCAGCCTGTTCCAGTGCTCCGTCACCTTACTGTAAAGAAGTTCTTGCGCACATTTGTGCGGAACTTCCTATGCTGCAGTTTCCAGCCGTTTCCCCTTGTCCTGTCTCCACTCACCACTGAAAACAGTCTGGCCTCGCCATTCTGCCCCCCACACCTTAGATATTTATAGACCTGGATCAGGTCCCCTCTCAGTCTCCTTTTCTCAAGGCTGAACAGACCCAGTTCACTCAGCCTTTCCTCGTAGGAGAGATGCTCCAGGCCCTTCACCATCTTCGTGGCCCTCCGCTGGACTCTTTCCAAGAGATCCTTGTCTTTTTTGTACTGGGGAGCCCAGAACTGGACACAGTACTCCAGATGAGGTCTTACCAGGGCAGAGTAGAGGGGGAGGATCACCTCCTTCGACCTGCTGGACACGCTCTTTTTAATGCACCCTAGTAAGCCATTGGCCTTTTTGGCCACAAGGGCACACTGCTGGCTCATGGCCAACCTGTCGTCCACCAGGACACCCAGGTCCCTCTCCGCAGAGCTCCCCTCCAGCAGGTCATCCCCCAACCTGTACTGGTGCATGGAATTATTCCTCCCCAGATGCAAGACTCTACACTTGCTTTTGTTAAACCTCATCCGGTTTTTTTCTGCCCAGCTCTCCAGCCTATCCAGGTCTTGCTGAATGGCAACACAGCCTTCAGGCGTGTCAGCCAATCCTCCCAACTTCGTATCATCAGCAAACTTGCTGAGGGTGGCCATTACCCCCTCATCAAGGTCATTGATGAAGATGTTGAACAAGACTGGACCCAGTACAGACCCCTGAGGAACACCACTGCTTACAGGTCTCCAACCGGACCACCGCACCGCACCACCAACAACGACCCTCTGTGCTCTGCCAGTCAGCCAGTTCTCAACCCACCTCACTGTCCACTCATCTATCCCACATTTCCTCAGCTTTGTTATAAGGATGTCATGGGGGACGGTATCAAATGCCTTGCTGAAATCAAGGTAGACTACATCCACTGCTTTCCCCCTATCCACCCAGCCAGAGACAACATCATAGAATATCCTCGAAGCACTGCATGTAGCTCATCATGCAAGGCTGCTTAAGGGAGCAGAGGGCTGACTGTACTTGCTGTGCCTCAACCCTTTTTGTTTTGTGACAAAGCCATCTTTGGGCATTTTCAAACTTGATGGCCTGCAGAATGTCATGTCTCATTAGGGTCTCTGTCCTACAGCTACTCTAATTCACATATGCACCCCCACTTGAAAGTCTGGTGTAGCCAGACTTATTTTTTGCAGTTATACGTTCAAAGTGACCGGGAGCTGCTTGTGCCTGTGCTGCCTGTTTATTTCTGCATGAACTAAGTTTCAAGTTTTTTTTTTTTTTTTTTTTTTGATTGCTTCAATGGGCACTCGGCTGTTTTGATACACATCAGCCACTGCTGTAAAATGCTATCATTTAAGACCAGTTGCAGCAAGCTGTAGTCTCTCACAGTACAGTTCCTGGGTGATTAAGCCTTGGAAAAAACTTGGTAAGTGGTATTAAAAAAAAATAAAATAATCGTCCTCCCAACTACCAGTAAAAAAAAACACCACACTGTAGTATTATTTGTGCAGTGAAGCACAGGGAGCATGTTGCTACAGCAAGGGTGAGCTCCAGATTTCTTGGTAACTAAGCTAAACCAACAAAGTCATGGAAAGCTAGTTCAATGAACAGTATATGACAACCTAAAGCATACACAGAACACCAACTCATCAGCATTCTATGGAGGATGAAGGTTTTCAGACATTCCCTTGCACAGGAAGGACAAGCTCTAATGAGGTTGTTCTGATCACAGATACAGCACAAGCACAAAGGAATGGATCAGACCCAACCCACACTGAAGCCCAGGCTCTGGATGGCCAGCAGTATCCCAGCTAGAATGACTGCTTCTCTAGCATAAGCTCTCCAGTTTGATAGTTTTTGTTGTTATTTTGGTGCTGTTGGGTTGATTGGATGGGTGCATTTTGTGTTTTGCTTTGTTTTTTTAACCAGGCGCTACAAGTTCCCATGGAGATAGAAAAAAGTGCATCTTTACAGAGACCTGAACGCTTTTGCATATGGCACTGTTATTTATGCTGTCATTCCTCCAGCAGTCAACAAAATAAGTTCCTAACAAGTAGCAGCACTTTACAAATAAAAGGCATGACCTCTACCCCAAGCAGTTTACAGTAGAATGAGAAAACATGGTAAGAAATGGAGAATTGGAACAAGACAAGTGATACAGAGCTACGTCAGAAAGGCACCTGCTTTCATGGTCCAAATGCCCTGCTGCTCCCACATTTAAATACACTGACACAAGTCTCCAGGGCCATGCCTGCCCTACTATCATTAACATGCCAGTATGCCAAGCGCAACTCTGACATGAATGATTTCCTTTTCTAAATTCCTCTGCTACTGTGCTTGCAATGTTATTGTTTCATTAAGATCTCATTACATATTAATAACCATGCACCCATTCATTTTGATTCCAGATGGGGAATAGCAGCTACACAGGGGCTAACACAATGAGATTTTATTCGCAGGTTTTAACATTTCACTCATGTTTCCAATTTCACCATGCTTTTTGAAGCAAAAAGAAACAGCCTGGCACTCTGTCATGCTAACAATCTTCTTGACTTTTTCCAGGACTACAATCTAATTTTGAGCCTACTTCGATTAACTGAGAGTTTGACTCTCCAGCTGTCGCCTCATCGCTCTCTGCCAGCCATATTTTTCAGCCAGCTATCCTTTCATTCCTTTTTCTTTCCTCCTGTTTCAAGCAGGAGAGCTATTCACAACTGATGCTGTGGGCTTAATCACGATGCAGCCTTCTGTGATTAACAGTCATGAAGCTCAAGTAAGGATAAAGATGATAAGCATATTTCACTACCACGTGAGAATTTTAAGTATTTCACAGTTTTCTGCGCTGAAGCTCTGCTTGACATATCTCAATAAAACAGAAAGGCCGCATATACTGCGAATTGATAGCCGTGTTCACTTCCACTGTCTACGGAAAAGACAAATACATGCAGCTGCAGTTGATACAGCATCTTGTTCCTTCCACCTCTTCTCTTGCCACAACCCTGCATCAGGACTCTGGCAGTCACTCTGTGAAAAACAAACATGAACTCTTCCACTTGAACCTTCTATTACTTGGCTGTACAGCCCACAAATCAGAGATGTTCGATGAACAAGTCCCTACCTGCTAGGCACAGAAAACAAGCTAATAAGTCATTGATATAGCTGGTAACAATGCAAAAATGCCTGACAGCTCAGTCAAAAGCCAGTATCCATAGCACAGAAGTAACCCAAGGAACACCAGCATCTCATGCCTGCACAGACTACACGATGGACATCACATCCCGACACTAAATTACATCAATCTGCATTTGGCAGAGTGGCACATATCCATTTCAGAAATACATCTCCTGACCCTACTGTAATCCCATAATAAAGCAGCAGCTCTCCTGCTTTTCAGACTTTTTAAAAATCTTTTTCTCACTCCTGCAACCCCCACCCTGGAAGGCAGCCTGGCCCCCACATTTCACAAGCTCCATTCTGCCTGATTTCTGTTCTTTCTACTTGCTCTCTCTGGGCATGGATCAATAACACATTTTCAGCAACAGTAAAAGAAAGTCTGTGGAGAAACAGATATACTTCATATCACAAGACATTTACTTTGATTTAGCATTTCAGGTCCCCAAGCAAATTTCCTATTTGGTAATGCAAAAAGCTACTTGCTAACCAAGGTTTGAGCATACTTAAATGTTTAGCTAAACCACATGATCACCCTGAATCACAGGCTATACTAGAACAATCAACCCTTTTAAACTCGAAAAGAAGTTCTTACTGGTCCAAAAGGATTTTTTTTATGTAGCAAACCACATCAAGATTTTTTTGAAAATCATACACTGCTGAGACTGTAAAGATCATAAGCTGTACGCATGAACAGACCATGTATACACATGCATACACATACTAAAAAAGGTTCAGTGACAAATCTTTTTCCATATATAACAGCTTTGATTACTATTTCTTAAAGTTAAAGCTTGAATAGAATACACATTTTTCACATACATTTTCAAGGAAAGGTTTGTGCTTTTGTTACAGCTCTTCTCTGTTCAGTGGCCTGCAGGACTTTCCACTTGTTCTCTGTTAAAGGTTACAGAAGAGCCACCATCACAGCCACTGAACACTCAATTTTTTTCCAGAGATGGGCCATTCACTCACACCTTGTGCCTTTCACCTTCAGTCCCACCAAGCATGCTGGTCACTCTCCATTTCTTGAATGAATACTTTATTATTTTTTGACTTGATACCCAAAGATTCCGAACCACTTGAAAATTGATGGGATCAATTCAGTTCTGTCCTGGAGTCACCAAACATTTAAAGCTTCCCTTTCTGGGTGCACAGCATTTCACTAGCTTCTTGCCCACAGCACACTTACCTGCTCCATTGATTTTCCAGACATTATTTTCATTCTTCCCCTTCACTCCACCCCAAATCAGTCTGCTTTTCTGCAGGAAGAATGCCAACATCTCTATCACTGTTTCCAGCTTCCTCTGTGCATATGTATGTCTTTAAGTAAAAAGATGAGAGAACGCTGTAGACACTGTACAGAAATGTACTTGTTTACATGTTCATACATGTACAGAACAACTTGACAATAACCAAATACCTCAGGTGAATACCGAAATTTCAAGTTCTAAAACAAATTTCTGTATTTAGACACAAATAAATCAGGCTGTTCTCATGGTTCAGCTCACAAGGATGATCAGAAAGATAAGTATGCAATGTTTTCTTCAAATTATTGACACATACTTTCAACTACATAAGCTTTCTTTATTAAGCATCAGTTTGCAATTAAATTCTAATTATATCTTACACAGAAAAGAAGCACAAGCTGGACTACAAAGAAAGGACACATTCAAGAAAAAGTTCCCCTTGAATGGAAATATTCCTTAAGCTTGGAAAACAAACAAAACCACTTTGTCAGTTACCTTGGAAAGCTTCACTCACTAAGCCTGTTGTTGCAGTTTTTTTTTCCACCACTGCAGAAACTAACTCTGCAATAATACAGTTAATAATCCTGGTGTATAAAAGACAAGTGATTTCCAAATGTTAATGAATTCTTGGATCCTTCCAGAGACTGCTGGTGTTTCTGGTACCTCCAGCACTGCACGTTACCTCATCAATACACCAAAACTGATGTGTCTACAGTTCAGATTCCAAGATAATTCATTGACAATAAAAATGCCAAGAACATCAACCAGCCCTTTATACTTACATGAGTTAGGAACCTGAAAACATACTGCTTTCAGCTAAACGTTCTGTCAAGCACCCCTGCATTAGCAAGCACCTAACAGCATTTCAGATGTAGCTGTAAATGGAGATGAAGCAGCCTCACTCTGTCCATGCAACAGGTGAGCAGTTGTCTTCAATGGAGAAAAAAAAAGGGAAAAAAAATCAATGTGTAATAATCTCTGCTGATAATGTCAGGTGAGCTCTTTAACCTTTTTCTGACCGGTCCATTCTTCTTGATGTTTAGCAGACAGCCAAAGCCTGTAATGGAGAATTGGCAGAGAACAGCTTTCCAGTGGGTACTGACTGCCACAGTTCTGGTTCACTGCCTTTCATGGCTTGCTCACATGTTTAACAGCCAACAGCACTTAATATCTTCTGTTCAATCACTGCTGTATTTAAAAACTAATAGTTCAGGGCAATCAGTATCTCCTGTTCTCAACAACAGCTTCAAGAGTTCTTTTTAATATTATATTCTACTCAGCCAGCATTTCTTATCCCCCCCCAGTACATTACACTTCCCAAAAAATGAAGTTCAGCCACTTACATGCTTGTGTCAAAAACAAAATTCACTTTAAGAGTAAAATCCACCTTACTTAAAATCATAAATCCAGTTTTAGCAATGCATACTCAGCCTTCTGTACACATATAACCACTTAAAAAAACCTGAAGCTCTTTAATACTTGGATCCACTGGGACTTGTATACAAATAAATCCACCAGAGAGCATCATCCTTATTCTCCTTCTTCCTTATGCTAGACCATCTGTGCAACTCATTGCACAGCTAGGGAGAAAAAACAGAAAGGAGATAGACTAGCACTAAAGGAAAACAGTTATCTGAGAGAAGAGCAGTTCCCTTTTGCTGGAAGCAGCGCCTTCAACAGAAAACGCTTCTAAAAGAGAAAGCAATGCTTTATTTCAAGGGAAGTTTGCCTCTGTTTCTGTCCTGATGGAAATCTCCAGCACACAATTTTACCTCCTGTATGTTCCCACTACATTTGGTTCCCAGCTGAAGTGATTCTTAAATGATAGCTTTCTATAGAGATGTTACACTGTGCTCCTGCATGTTCATGTTGGTGTAAGCAGGTGAATTCTTTGAATCCGTCTTATCTTTGTTATTCCTGCTCCTAGCCATATTACCAGGGAAAAAGATGGGCTGTTTTTAAGCCCTTGACTTTGTTTCCTAGTCTTAGTAGCAAAACTTAAGCACTTGCTACTCAGCTTAAAACAGTTAAAAAAAAAAATCACATATATTCCAAATGCCATTTTTGGAAATGTAGCCCTATAAGGAGTACTTTTTTTTTTTTTTAATGACGGCCAAGTGTGCAGCAACAGCAAGTATCCCAGCAGTCCTCCATGCCCAAGGGCAGCAACACTGACACAGAATCACAGAATTGTCGGGGTTGGAAGGGACCTCCAAAGATCATCAAGTCCAACCCCCCTGCCAAAGCAGGTTCCCTACAGCAGGTGAACACAGCAGGTGACACATCTGACACATAAGAACCAGCAACTAGAGAAAAATCCAGCAATCAGTAAGACTTTGAAAGATTCATTGGGATGAGTTGAAGACTGTAACAGGAGGATTTTAGTCAGCAGTATAAATTTAACTACAACTTTTGTGCCACCCAAGACTAATGAATACGTTTGGACTGCTAATTATCCTTTCTTCTCCTGTGAACTTCCCATTTCTGCTATTTGAAAGATGCATCAGCCTACTAAAAAGCCAGCATGCTTAAAACAGGTCTTCCTAGAAGACCCACAAATCTTAGAGAATTGTGAACTGAGGAAGCTCAATTGGACATTTACACAATTTAAACCATATTTCCTCCACAACAGCTTTCTTCCCCCCTCAATTGAAACAATGTTTTTGGTACAGTTCAAGGGTTTTTGTCTTTTGGACAAAGCCATCTTACTCATTTGAAACATTTCACGTTTCATATCATTAAACATCATCTCGAGGACGATGTCACAGCAGGGGCAAACACAGCAAGCTATCTTCACTGACAAGAGCTCCCTCAACTAAACACATCATACAACGCCTTCTCCACACACAGAAGGCTATTTTTCACAGAGCACATGGTTTCTCAGCACTGCTCACCAGTTTAAGTCAGCTTTCTGCTTCTCCTCAGCTAAAAACACAAAATTAGAGACCATCTTTTCACTCTCCTTTAATAATGTATCAAGAGATAGCACAGGCATGAGGCATTGAAATGGTTAGTGAGTCACTTCTGCACAAACAGTTTGGGTCCATCTTCCTCAAGTAAATTCTTTCTGGTCAATTTTATTTTAGATGGACAAAAGCAACTCTCTAACATAGTAATATAGCAGATAGCCAAGCTGCACCACCTCAAAACCAGCACCAGACCTTTGCTCCTAGACACACTCCTGTCAAGGATGCTGGCATTAGTCAATGTGACACCCGCACTGATGGTAACACTAGCCAGCTCCCTTATCTGGCTGCAGGGGAAGGCACAGAAGGGGGCCAACTCCCCCAGGACCTGCCTGCTTTCCGGGAGGGAACAGGTTGAGGAAGAGCAAGACTCATTGCCCCCAAGGGCCAGGAGATGAGAGCAGCACTTGCTCGTCCCTCCTCAGAGGAGGTGCCAACCCACAGAGAAAGCCTCAAAATGTTTAGAAGTATATTATGGAGGGGATGCTGCCTTGACTCCTTGGAAGTCACACTGCTGTGAAACACTGGCTCAGCTAGGCTAGTGCTTCGGCATCACACTGATTCATTTCAAAAACACACTGTAAATCATTAAGATAATCAGAACGTAATCCCACGAAGGGTGTGCTATAACTATAAAATGCAACTCCCAATGCAAGTCTTAATTCAGAAATATTTTTGTAACACACCTATTTTCTGGTGCATGGAGATGTTTTTGAAGGTAGAAACACACTTGAGACATTTTCCCTGAAACCAAGGACAAATCATCCCAGGACATCAAGTACCATCTGTCCTGCCAGTATCCATTCCCACTGGCAAATCCAGGCTCTAGGGAAAAGCACTGCAATTTAACTCAAATTGAAAATAATGGCTAAAAGTATGAAGAACAACAAGAGCTATCATGATAAAAACTGACCACTTGGCTGCACAGCTCCCTGACAGGAAAGAAGCCACCCTTGTCCAGCAATATCCTAACCTCCCTGAAGTGCCACAGAAACCTCTGGCCTGCAGGGACTGCCCTTCATCAGGAACTACATCCACAGTACTTCATTTGAGTAAGCACAGAAAACGAACATTGGGAAGAACAGAGCAGAGAGGATAAAGCTGCGTATGGAATCCATACAGCAGAGCCACGGAGCACTGTGCTGCACACCCTGCTGAGGCTTCCCAAATCATCAAGCCATCAGCCCATCCAAGCTAGAGACTACACTCTGCTCATGTAACTGATACAAATGCACCCAAGCTTCTGGCTTTCCTTGTGTAAAGTGGAAGGAAAAGGGACTGTGACTTTGTATGGAGGGACATTTGTTTTACTTTCACCTTAAGATAACAAACTTGCTACCAACTGATAAGCACAAGCTCAATAGGGCAATTCATTAGACTTCAAATTCTTAATAAAGTGCTTGTATAGTGCATCTTGATCACGATGTGGTATTACAACCAAGTTAAGAGTGATACAAAGAAAACAGTCTGGCAGCTAAGCCTCTGCTTCCTCCTGCAAGGAAAACTGTTAGCCTTTACCCACAGGAATATAAATCGTCATTGCAGAAGCAGTGTATATTTTTTCCATATAGGACTACCCACCCTATTATATGCATAAAACATTTTAAGTTTCCCTATTGTGTCACATTTGTGAAAGCTTCCAACAAACAGATCTTGATTTCAGCCAAGTCACCAAAAAAATTGAATTTATCTAATATTACTGTAAAAAAAAAAAAAAAAAAAAAATCAAAACAAGCTTTTTTTTTTTTTGTCTGTAATTAAAGTTTAGCTGCTTTCCACAACTGTCATCATATTAAGTTGTAGGTTTTATTGAAGTTAGCCTGTACCTTATTGGCCCTATTTCAGCTGCTTTGGGCATAATAAATATAAATTTAATTTCCCTGCAGCCTACTCTAACTGAACATAGATCTTGCCCTACTATTACAAGGAAATGGATGGACAAGCTAAAGAATGTAGGAGAGGAGACATAAGGCAACATGAAATCTGCTTGTCAATCTTAATAACAGTTTCATTATTACCACTTCTAT